ATCCAAGCTATTGTGAGAACTCAAGTTCTAGTATTTGTTTAAAAGTGTCTACCCATGGTAAAGATGGTCTGTGATGACCTTGTTAAGTCTATTATTTGTATTTGTGTTTTAGATAAGTTTTTCCATGCCTTTAGCTAATTTCTCAGCTTCTTATGTTGTTAGGCTGAAAACAATGCTATCATGAGATGGATACTCAGAATTGAAGAAGAACACAAAGATATGGCAGTATGTATACATTTCAACTTTTATGAGAAATAATTCATATATATATATATATGCATATAATACATATATACATATATACATATATATACATATATATGTTGCTCCCACCAACTAACTGTGTTTTTTGCTGTGATTTAGGAGATTCCTGTTTTTTTTTATCATATCTTATACAATCAATGTGAAGCAGCCAAGATGTTCCGCGGTAGTGATGGACCAGCATGGGATATTGTTATTAGAAGAACCAAATCTGGAAATATGATCACTAGAATGTATGTCGAGGGAGGCTGGAAAGAGTTCATCTCAGATAATGATATCGAAGTTGGAGATACCTTGATGATGTACTATAAAGGTAGAAAAATATTCCATACTAAAATTTTTTCATATGATGGCCATGATAAAACCAATCTTGGTACACCAGTTACCCAAACCAGGGTTACTCGAAGGAGGCTTCCATTGTCTTTTGCAGAAATGGAAAATCACTTAAGGTTAATGCAACAACAATGTCCTTATCCATCATTTACATATGTGGTTAACCCTCTGGTTATTTTCCAAGGAATTATTGTAAGTTTCATTGTCTGTAAGCTGTAGATCTGTATATTTTCTATACACACTTGTGTATCATATTAGTATTAGCAAATTTTTAACTACTGGTTGTTTCTAAATTCTGCTGTGAAAAGGTTGTTCCAGTACCATTTGCTACAATGCATTTCTGGACAGCAGATCCATGCACAACTGTTCTTCTTCGGCACAAAAGGAAACAATGGTGTGTGGACTTAAGAGTAGTTCGAGAAGAAGGTAGCATTATATCATGTGTACTATGAAATGGTGTGAATGCGTTCTACGAACACGTGTTTGCCGTAGTTGGTTTAGGTGCTCTAGTGATTTATCAAACAGGTTTTCCTCTAGTATTTGAGGTGATGCTTGGGCCAGCATAGCTTTCCACATAGAACTGCTTTCTGGTTCACATGTTTGACTAATATATTAGCATCAAATATGTATTATTTGAAGTAGTATGGGTGTGTAATAATAAAGGCGTTAAGTATTCACTACAAGATGTGGAAAATCAGTTAGTTAATGTTTAATACTTATGTAAGAAAGGCAATTATGTATTGCATCTGTATAATAGGCATGTTATGAAAAATTAATATTTATGTGTTAAGTAAGACTGCAGTATTAAATCATGCAGGGTAATGCCTTTGAAAAAAGCCAGTGTGTAATAATAGAAAGATTACAGAAATCTAACATGTATAATATAACGGAATTAAATTTTCGAGCGGCAAGCTTACAAATTCATAACAATGCTCAACAAGAAGAGTAATTGTAACTTTGTCATTATGATAGATTGCATAGGATAAGCTCAAAATTATTAGGTAGTTAATAACCTTGTGTTTTATTTTCTGTAATGACTGGTTTGCGTCATTTCAAAACTGCTTAACATGACAGGGTCATAACAGTCAAGTATGTAAGTTCCAGTCATTGTAAACATTTGACTAGCTAAACATGTAAGGTAAAAATTGTGAATAAACATCGTCAAATGTGGTCAGCAAACATTAATGTACTGCTTAAGTATAATCATTGGCATTAAAACAATACTTTGACATTCCTATAAAAGTTACATAGTTTGTAGCCTCCCAGTAACCCGCATAAGAGGTTGTATCGAATACAATGTTGAAGACAGTTGCTTTGATAAGCTACTATCTGTAGCAGAATTAAAGAGAGAATGTCACAAGTGTATTCCAGTGGAGGTGTATGCTATGGAAAAATTGGGGCTGTTTTCCTACAAAATAGCGATCCTATTGTGTTAGAAATAGTTGTCCATTAGGCTGCAGGTATGTTAGGATTTAGAGTTCAGCTCAGTTAAAAGACTCTTTAATGTACTGTTTTGAATAAGATTAATAGTAAGTGTAGAAAACTGCTTGGCATGTACATTTGATTCCAGCATTAGCAATAAGAGCAGGTTTATTGTATTAATATCATGGAATGTATATGTCTAATGGGCTTTAAAGATTTAGTAATGTTTCTAGTTTCATTGAATAACCTGGAGCATGTTGAAATGAGATTCTAGATAAAGGAAGAGCACACAAAGAACGTCTAGGCATTTAAACCACCATGTTTGATATAACATGTTCCCAAAAGCTTAAATTTTAAAGGCATAACAATAAGCATGGTAGATTGAGAAGAGGTAACCGGGGAAAAAAAAAAACAAAAACAAAAAAAACCCAAAAAAAGAAGGAAGCACTTTTCTGCTTTTATAAAGTATAAGACTTCCTCTATTTAAACTGCCTTCAGGTTCAGTTTACTATAAGATGTAATAGTTTCCTGAAAGGGAAGGAGATTGTGATTGTTTTAACTCGTTTTTCACAAGATAATTATTTAGATGAAAAGACCCAATTGGGTAACAATTAGATACTAACTACTGTCCTGGGTATGTCATATGTTTTAGAGGCTATAACAACTACTTACTGCTTGCTCTGTCCCAGTCAAGTCAAATACTTTTATAAGCATTTATGATATTTCTTTCTTAAGCCAATCTATCTATCTAGTAGGAATTGGAATCTTTCTCATGTCAAATTAACTATTAAGCAAATCTTTATCTAGCTCAGGTCCTAGCTACATCCAACAACCAATAACATGTTTATTTTCTGTTACAGGTCTATCATGTAGCCACCTGCATATAAATTCGAATGCACCCTATACTAATGTTCATTGATGAAAGCACTGAGTAAATAAGATAGCATACTCTAGGTGCTCAGCTATTACATCTACCAGCAATCTAATTAGATAATCTGATGATATGTTCAATGTAACATATAAAATAGTGTGGGTTCACAACAACTAACATGTCATTGAACAGTGACACCAGGCATACCTTTTCAGAACAAGCCTATATTTTGGTGGTTCAAACATTCTGTGTATATGCTAGTCATTACTGTAAATACAAGCTTTCAATATTAGTTATATACTTAAGTCAAATTGTAATTAGCCGGATCTATTCACCTTCATATAACCACAGCTTGAAAATTTTAAAAAGAATTAAAGTCTGAAGAATCTTAGAAAGAAAAATGCTATAAACTATATTAATTCTCCTGATATATGTATACATTTCTGTAAACAACTCTTTAAATGAACCAAATAGCAAAACTAAACAATCTTTGTCATAACAAACCTAGTACATTGGTGCACAATATTGAAAGCAGAAGTAACAAAAAGCAAGTTAGAAACAATTTTTTGTTCAATACGAAAAATAAACCTTGATCATGAAATTCATATTCGGTTATTAAAAATAACTGATAATTAGACTCAATACCCCAAACCTGCTCTTCAATGGAGGATAAAGCTACAATACCAGAAGGTGCAGAATATATTCCTCCATATCTTCTAAGTTATAACTGCAGAATGACAGCAGAAGCACAGCAGTCAGCATGCAAAAAATAATGTACATTCACAAGATTCATCATTACTCCATAACAATTTATAAAAATCAAATTCTACAATGTATTATCAAGAAGAGTAGAAGAATCAAATGAATACATGAACCGCATCACGTGAACACCATGATTAATGGTGGATTTTCCTTGTTTTTTGCCTTAGGATTCCTTCATCCTGTCAATATATAACTATGAACTATCAGCTGTCTTCTTAAATATATAAAACTTGTTTAATTTCAAAGAAACAAAAGGGAACATACTTTGAAGTCCTACTCTAATGCTCTGATTAAAAATAGATATTTATGTCTCTTCTTCTATATTATGATGCAATACACCTGCCAACCTCAACACTTCAAAAGCCACTACATTTTGTACAGTGTTTTGAGGGTGTTGATCTGGAGGCTTAGCATAAAAGACAGCAACATCTTCTGCCTTTTTAGCCCTTGACAAAGCAACATATAGCTGACCATGAGAAAAACATGGGCGTGGAAGATGTATAGACACCTGATTAAGAGTCTGCCCCTGAGATTTGTTTATTGTCATTGTAAAGCTTAACTTGATGGGAAACTGTTTCCTTTCAAATTGGAAAGGATAATTCATAGAACCAGATGGTCTTAAATTGATTCTGTGGATGAAAACATGATCTCCTTTGTACTGTCCTGTAGCAATTACACATTGGATAACGTTTGGGAAAAACCTCTTACAAGTAAGACGGGTGCCATTGCACAAACCAGACGAAGGTAAAAGATTCCTTAAAAGAATTACCGGACAGTTCTCCTTCAGCACAAGCTCATGAGGGCTCATTCCTCCTGGGCACAAGCTATTCATGAATTTCGTAGGATATATATTACATGTATCATTCAACATGATATCAAAACTCTTGTATATAACAGCTCTGCCTTCAAATTTTTCTATCATGAATGCATTAATCGAATCCACTTCATCGTTTAATGGTGTTAGGATTGCTCGATCAATAAATCTATCAGTACCAAGGTTACCTTGCATCATTTCAGGGAACGTTGCTTCTATGAGATCAGATATGAAATTGTTTCCGGATTCACAAAATTGAGCTACTTGGTCTGGAATCTGTACATACGCTTTTTCTGAATTCTGTAGCTCACCATTACCCAAGGCAAGCAAGAACTCAGAGTATGTTAAATCTTCCCGAGCTCTAATATTTTCTATCAACCTGAACCTTATGAATTTAGGCCATAAATATGATGTAACAATACTGGTTTCAACTGCTTCTTTCATTGATCTATGAGGAACTACTGGCAGAACTTGCCTAAAATCACCTCCAAACACAACAGTCTTACCTCCAAACATGAGTTTATTATCACACACATCCTACAATAGTAAATCCAAAGACTCAATATTCTGTTTCTTATCCATTGAAGCCTCGTCCCATATTATCAGTGATGTTTCCCTAAGTAATGCTGCTAAACTACCCTGTTTAGGAACAGCACATGCCAGAGAAGCATCACTATCAAGTGGGATTTTAAACCTTGAATGAGCTGTACGTCCCGAAGGTATGTTCGATGCAGCAATACCTGATGTTGCTGTCGGCAACACAATCTTGTTCATTAGTCTAAGCTCTGCATACAATGCATTGTATAAAAATGTTTTCCCAGTTCCTCCCGGGCCATCTATGAAAAAAGCACCTAGTTTCCCATCCATTACATATTGCATGATACATGAGAAGGCAGCATTTTGTTCATGGTTCAATCTAGAACGACATGTAAGAATTTCTGGTGGAATAGGAGCATCAAGAGCATCCACAATATCCTTTGTTCTTCTGATCTCAGCATCAACATGAGCAATTAAATGATCCAATCCAAAAGCTGACAACGATTTCCCCATAGCTTCAAGGTACCCCTCAACAGAACGAACAGTCAAATGCTGAATCCTAAAGTCATTGTTCGCGTATTTATACCTGAAATCCTCAGACAAAAAAGGGTAGAATTTCTTCCACAAGACAGGCGGATCAGCCGTTTGACAGAAAATAAGTATTGTTGCAAATAAACGGCGTAAAGCATCAGGCATCTGGACCTCTGAAGCTTCACACAATGTTAAGTCCGCAACATTATCATTTTCTATTAGTCCCAACTTCAATGCCGCATCATAAAAAGTTGGATACACATGACCATTAACAGTTCGAAGCCCTTCAAATGAAGTTGGACTTCTGACATTAAGCAATAACAGTCGTAAGAAAAAGCGTTCCCCTTCTGCAGGATACACAAATGCCAAACACCCAACAGAAAATAGATCTAACACTCTTTCTTTCCATTGCTTAGTACCTGCGTCCCATCTATAATGCTCACAAAATTCACCATATAAGTAGCCTGTACCACCTTCAACAGCTGCATTGACTGCAAAAAATTCAGTCAATTGAGTACGAGAACGTTTAGAATTAGCAACAACAGCACGTAGTCTTTCATGAGGATGTAAATGGACAGTTTGTTCATTAGGAAAATGAACCTGTAGAGGAAGAACGGGAGGATGCATTTCAAACAGATCAAAACTAAATATTCTCCACGCTGCTTCACAAGGGGAAACCCATCTACCTGACTGGAACTGTTTTATTTCATCAACACAGTCGGACTCACCAGGTACTATATTGAATGAAACCTTATCATGCCCCTTGTATACATATGTGTATAGGTATTTCACTGCTTTAATTGTGGAACAAACCTCAACATTCAAGTGGCAATCAAACAATGAAGAAAGATAAGGATTGTACGGGATAACCCACTGATTATCAAGGTATGTGTTACGGATCTTTACTTGTTCCCCAGTATCACGTCGTTGATAGATGGGATAGCCATCTTTGTTATTAGATGTGTCGTTTGAAAACTATTTAGGATATTTATTTTTACAAGACAACATACCACCCTTGTTACGCATGCAGGGACATTGTGGATTTAACACACCACAGGGGCCATGCATCATATGTGCAAGCACTGTCCGTCGCAAGTTACTATTGCTAACAGGAGGTATTTCAGCACACACATATTTATCATAATCAACAGGACATTTCAGCTTCCAATCTGATTTCAAGATGATCAAGAAATGAGCATGTGGTAATCCTCGTTTTTGGAACTCAACAACATACACCATTGCAGCGACTTCACCAAAAATCTATTTCACCAATATTTCTTTCTTCAGCAACAGTATTTTGGCTCTGAATATCCTAGCTATTAAATCAGGCCGATCTTGTGCTGTTTCACCTGGGCTTAACTCAGCTTTTATTTCAGGCCAGTTAGCATTGCAAGTAATAGTGACAAATAGATCTGGTTTCCCATATCTCTGAACCAAGGCCATGGCATTTAGGTAACGTTTCTTCATGTCACGAGGTCCTCCAATAAATGTTGGAGGTAATATTACTCTACGCCCTACATTTTTAGCAACAATTTCCCCATAGTCCAATGAATCCAGAATACCTTGATATAGATCAGCCCGTATACTTTGTTGGTTATTTCAAAAGTAATCAAGCCTAGTGTTTTCAATTTTGACATACATGTCAACTATATACTACTGGAAACACCTCCCAGCTCGCAACAACATGTTCTCAGGCCGAATTTGCAACTTGTAGGCATAATACTCTCTTGCAGAAATGAACTTATCAGCTCTAGTATTCTTTTTACACGCTCCTGCATAACAACAGCATAAACAATTATTCATAATTTGGAAGATAGAAAACAAACAGTATTACATATAAGTAATTTTAGTGTAAATGTGTCTGGAGAATGTACTTTTGTCTTCTTCATTCAACAAATCCTCAGCACTGTGCACAGCACATGACATAATTGGATCTGGCAATGGAATTGTGTTCCTCGATCTACTGTGAGACTGTTTTTTTAAGCCTTGAGTCCAACCACATTCCCCACGAGGGAATAACAAAGGATACTGCAATGGGTCATAACAACCATAGTTATGGTAAATTCTATGAGATATAGCAGATTTACCAGACAGTAAGATATGAGGACTCAAAGTTTGGCTAGAAGAAGCATTTTCTGGCCATATGACCACAACATCATCTACAGCAGGTGCATTGTAAACATGTTGGTCTAGCACTGTACTTTGATTAAGGACAATTTTGGTATCAGAAGTTACATGTCTATCTCTGAGATATCGAAAGAACACTGCATATGGATTCGGCTCTGAAACTCGCATCAGAATTTCAATCACATCTTGACGGACCTCTGGAAAGCACCTAAGCCTATTATTAGCCTCATTTTGTCCATCGTAAAAATAGAGCTGCAAATACTTTGGAGTGCCTTTATCGGGCAGTAAATCTGGAACAAAATGATACATTTGCCCGTGCATTTTAAATACATATATACCCTTGTAAGTGCTTGCATCAAAATTCCCGCCTATAGAACTAAAGGCAAACAAATTATTGTATAACCTAGCATAAGTTCTGAAGTGAACTGCATCTTCATCTTTTGACATAAACAAACGCTGCAGTTCAGAAGGGTATTCATTTGTCACTATCTTAACCTCTCCCCCACCACAACAAAAATTCAAAGTCTCAAAAGCAAATTTTTTTGTAGCGCAATGTACACATTGTGTAGGGGGCGATAATTTCAGAGGCTCCATTGACAGTGGCTGCCCAGACATAGCAGCAGGAATATCTGGCATTGATACAAATTCAATTAATCCAATTAATTTCACATAATGCACAAATTCAGTATCATAGAACTAACAACCATATTAAGAAAAGTTGCTCAGCAACATACAGTGCGACTTTGGCTTAGAAGTAGATTTCCTCTTCTTCAGTACTGAACCACTACATATGAAAAACATAATTAGAACTATATGTTTATCTTAGATAACCTCTAACACTAATTTCTAAGACTTGTACCTTTTCGATTGTGACCGAGCCATATCATAGATGCTGCGTTTTTTTCTTAGTTACACGTTCTCGAGGTAAATGTCTAACTCCATGCTGATTACTGAATACAATCAAATTGTGTCAACAACAACCAGACAAAGCAACTACATTCCCACATACCATGTTACAATTGCATATACTTCTAGATTCACTAATGATTACCTTAAAGATTCTTGATGGCCATCAATACAATTCGTAGGAGAAACACAAACTAACTGAGATCTACACATGTGGTCATGCACATTACTATAATCTATAACCAATAAACGTCATCCCAAAAATCACCCCAGTGCACAGTCGTTTACCTATCTGAGTGCACCCCTGGCAATCCATTCAGCAGTCGATTCCTTTTTGAAACTCGTATACAAGAAGACTGGTCATCTTGTTGTTGGCTATTAATAGGCAATTATTAAAATCCAATAATTAAATTAGGGCACTCCTTGGAAGCAGAAAGCTAAGTAACATATAACAACTATGTGTAAGCATTTACCCTTGTACTGCTATTTGGGATGATCGTTGCTGAGCTCGATTAGCTCTGTTGCAACTTTTACTTGATAAATAAGGAATACCATACTGGCAATCAACCATGCTGTTTTGGATTTTTTGCTAGATTTTGCATGACAGAATACAGATGTAACCATTCTGTAAATTAGAAAGCAATAATAATACACACAGATCAAACCAGTAATTCCTTATTTTTTTTGCAAAGAACCACATACTAAAACAAAACCACTAAAATACTGGACTTTAATGTATGCGCTATAAATCTGCATCCTAACATTAGCAATATATATTGGCATGTATAGGCTAAACATTACACAATATGTATCAGTTACTATTTTATACTGGGAAGAAGATTTGAATTACTATTTTATACCACAACGCAAGAAGGAATGCAAACCTTAAGCTAATAACTGCAAGCATTAATAATGGCATTAAAATTGCAACAAACACATGTAAATAAAGTACTATTCCATAGATATTTACATTGGAAACACCATTACAACAAAAGCGGTGGCATGCTTATAAATGCCACTCTAGTTACACTGACATTACAACCCAAATAACCAGGTTCTATAGCCTAGTAGGCCTTTCCTTTTTTTCAAAATTTAAACAGAAACAAAATCAGCATCTTTTGATTGCTGTTCTACATATTTCCACAAAATAGAGCATGTCAACCCCTTACAACTGCTAAGCACTAACTAATCAGTCTTAACATTACCAAACAGCCGACCTAATTCCAACAAACCAGACGCTGCCTGATCTGAAGTACCTACCCCCACTTCCTCTTCATGAGCTATCTGCAGTAGCTTCTTTCGCTTAGCAGGAGTAGCAGACGTAGTGTTGCTGACAGGAACCGGTATCTCCTTACAAATTTGAGACACATTCTCCTCCTGAACCACATAGTTTGTGGCAACAGGAAGCTGAGATGTCTGCTCCAACCGTTCAAGATGCCCCTTTAAAATTAAATACTTCTCCCTCAGCAAGTAACACTCTCTACTCAACTTTTCTGTAGCCCCATAATTAGCATCAACTATCTCCAGATTGTATCTACAAGCCAAGTAAAAGACAGCCTTCTTTGCAACCTTTTGTTCAGCAACACTTGCCAAAGGACTGAACTCACTAAAAATGCACTCCATCCCATTACTACTACGTGGACAATTAACCATAACCCACGAAACGAAGCCATGACCTTCCACCCAAGTAGTTTCTATAACTGTCACAGATGCACCAGTCTTTCGCACAACAATCACTAATACTTCTGCATAGTCAATGGAAATATGAAAACCACTACCAAACAGGGTATGTCCTGAACTTTCCCCTGCACCTTGCCCAAAGGATTTGCCCTTCTCTTGCAATACCTCAGCACATTTATTCCTAAATAGCTTCAAACACAATTCATGGAGTCTAATCTGATCATATGTGAAAGCAGACACCTTAATGCCAAATAAATGAATCATTTTTTTCACAGCCTTCTAAGCTGCCCTCTCACGAGATTCTTGAACTGTACTTGCATCACCACCAAAGAATGTTAAGCGTGCTCCATTGTTTGATCGCTTGACTTGCACCCAGACATTATTCCTAGCACTATCTATGAATCCATAAACTGGTGCTTGAAACTGTAGCCAATCAGTGATCTTTTTCAACAGAGGTTCAAAGGGAATGTAAACCTCGTTAGGCCGAGCAGCCATAACCTGTAATGGCAGTAACCACATTTAGATTGAAATCCCGTACACAAAGGCAAAAATGGACACTCCCCTAACACAAGCTGCACAACTACTGAAACCATAACAGGCACTATAGCCAAATTACAAGTCTCAAGCAGAATCAGCCTACTAAACAACTCAACTCCCTTATTCACAAGCCATGTCAGATAGTATGAACTATTTAAGGGCAGGCTACCAGTAACTACACCTTCAACATCTTTGTTTGATCAATCTTAAACCTCATATCCCCTCATTTCACCAATACCAAGGCCCACACTCATCTACTTTAAGACTGTTAACTAATACCCAGACAACCCAAAACCCCAGCACTAAAATCCCAAAAAAACAACACAATAAACCAAACAGAAGGATGAGGAAAAAGTATAACCTGCCTAATGACACCCATAATTACTAAACACCACACCCTCAACAAAAAAGCAAACAACCCGAAAAAACAAAACATATATAAAACATGCATACCCAAAGCAAGCCACATAAGAAAGTATTTCAAAGTTACGTACCATTGAAAAAGCAATACCCTTGCAAAGCAGCAACAAACCAAGAATATCAACAAGCACCTCGACACTTGAAAGTTTTCTGAAATCGACACATAAATAATGATTACATCCCCATAAAACAAGTCTCAATTGTATATAAAATGTATGATACACAACCCAACAAAACACAAATGTAAAACAACTAAATTGACTAATACAGAAATACATAGTAGACGTCCATCCAAAACCACATATTTAAAAGAAACAATTGTATCTCTAAGCACCATACAAGCCAAACAACAACAAAGAAAAGGCTAACAATTAAGCTGGCTGATACCCCAAAAATTTAAACCGTTTCAATTGTATATTAAAATACAATACACAACCAAAAATGACACAAATTATTTCCAATTAGATTGACCAATTAAAACTTAAACAATGGGTGTTCATGCAAATTCACACTTGAAAAGAAACACTGGTATCCCTAAACACCATACAGCTCAAAAAACAACGGAAAAC